TTCTCTGCAGTAGGTGTTCTGCTAACGCTGGGGCCATGCACTTTTCTTGGCCGTATGAAGCTTTAGTCTAATGTAGGGTGCTCAGCCTCAGCTCCACTGCCGCTCTGTATCTCTGTATCTTGCTCCTTGAGGGATGTGCAATCCTGCACCAGTGTCCCTGCAGTCGGGACAACCAAAATGCTCTCCAGACCACTGTATTTCCCATGTGAGATTGCGGAAGTTACAGTCCTAGCTAACCAAGAACCTCTGGTCTAAACAGGTGGCCTCTGAGAAACAAAAGGCAGCTTTTCTCTCCTTTGCATAGTGGGTGTGGGTTGGCGAACATCACCAAAACAGGAAGCAGCTGGTGCTGTAGGTGGCCAAATGGAAAGGTGGAATAACAGGGGCCTGGTGTGAATGGCACGATGCTGCCCCAACACTTGCCCTGACTGAGGACTTCTGGACTCACTGTCGAGATACTACATTTCCATGCTGTCAAATGAGTTCAACATGCTGGCAGCTAAGGTAATCCTGATACGACCTTTCTGAGCCTTCTCTTTCTCCACCTTTATCTTTGTTTTATAGTAAGGACAGTCTGTGGTTTGCAACGTTTGGGGAGGTGAGACAGAGGCTAGGCCAGTTTTTACCTGTTTGTGTAGCTTTATGCCTTAGGCCCCAGTAGTGATTGAGTTGACACCTCTGGATGGACTGGATAGATGGCCAAGGCTGACTTCCTCTTGGACTGCATTTGGGGGCTCTGTGAAGGTGCTGTGTTGCTTCCACTCTCTGGGCTGTCCATCCTTTTTCTACATGGTAAGACTTGTGATTATCTCAGCTTCCCGATGCCTTCCTACTTCTCCAGGTGGCTTTACTGGTTAAAACCAAGAAACTCTTTGGTGTGGCCCACACACGGTTTATAGGCAACATTATCACTCATTTTCCCTGACCAACTGCAGCAGGGGCTGATCCCGATGCCAAACTGTTTATCTGGCCCTGGGTATCTAATTAGTCAAACTCTTCCCATTCCTCAGCCTCCAGCCCACTTATCCCAGACACCAGTCTTCGTGGCATCTCCCAACTGCAGGAGACAGATGGATTCTCCAGATGAATCTTTTGAAAACCCCTTCCCTAGACTTGATGTGAGAAGGCTGCAACTTCACTTCTGTCCAGAGCTTGAGTGAGAGGTGACTTACAGCAAGGCAGATGCCTCACTCAAGGAGGTCACCTTTCCCACTATATATTATTTCATCTTGTTATTAATATTGGATTTTGCTGAGGGATTCAAGAGACCTTGATTAGCTTCTCAGTCATTTTCTTTACAAATCTGCATTACAGGGAACTTACGGAGTGGGACACTCTGTCTGAAGCTCATTTTGAGATCCTGGTATCTATAGCATTGGTGACTGAGTTGATACCAAGAGCAAATGATCCCCATTCTAACATCTTATTTCATGATATGTATTTTAAATGTGTGCTACCTGTGTTGCTTGTGAGCCTATATAATTTACAGGTGCTTGAACAATTTTATTATGCATATCAGCTATGTTCATAACTTCAGGGAATAGGGAATTATGTGAATTTGCTTGTTTCTTTATCAAATGGCTCCAAATAATCATACTTTGATAGTAACGTAATGTGAAGAAACTGAAGACAATGGGGTAGATTGAATAAGATATGAAAAGTAAGAAATCATTCCTTAAATATTTGATAATTTTCTTGGAGAAGAGGTATAAGAATTATTTTATGCTGAGTTTGGAGCAGAGTCAGGAGCAATCTGTGTGGAATTCTGGCTCCTGATTAGAATAAACTTTCAGATGAACAGAACTGAAATAGAGATTGGCTTGCCATTTACCAAACCTGTTTCTCCACATCCAGACAAACATTTGAATAGCATTTCCCAGACTCCCTTGCAGCTAGGTGAGGCCATGTGCTTCCCTTCTCATCAAAGGACTCTCCCACATTCTTTCCTCCCCTGGCTTGGTGTTAACGATTCTGGAAACATTTAAAACTATGTGTTAAAGATGGAAGGAACTTAGGTCTTGAATCAGCACTTGGTAGAGAACCTGCTAGCAATTAGATAACTTACTTAGGACGTGATTAGATTTTCTGTTATAGACTCCAGTACTGCCCTCATAGAAGAACCATCTGACAATGGGAAGGTCCATTGGGCAGCATCACTGAGGTATCTTTAACAAGGATATCATGGAAGAAACTTATACAAGGCTGAATTACCCTTCTAGCCTGAGATTTTTCTTATTTATTTTCCCAAATGACTAAAACCTCAGAAATTTATTTTACATTTGAGAATATAGTTCCCTTTAATAGTCCTCAAATCTTTCTTGTAATTTGCTGTTTCTAAAAGACTAAATACTTTAGTCAACCAAATTTATGGGTTTTGTGCTTAAGATAACCAGCAGCATAAAAAAGGCAGGATATACATTTTAGAGACAGAATCATTCCTATTTTGCAATAGATTTATATACCTGTGCATACAAAGCATAAAAGATTGCAATAAAATACACAAGACAGCAATCAGTTATTTCTGTGCCCTTGTATTACTCTTTGATGTTTAATGTTTTTATTTAAACTTTTTTGTATTTTATTTAAATCATATTTTAAAAAACAATTTCCCTTCAGTAATCTTTAAAAAGCCATCGAATAACTGTTAAAATTATTTTTTTAAAATTAAGAAAGATACACTGTAAGTGAAGATCTATTGTGCTTATGTGTGTAATAAGGGTGTGGGCTTTGATTCATGGTTTTTTTTCCCTACCCACTGACTCCATACAGTCAGACCTCTGATGGAAAGTTCAAGGGCCTGGCCACCACCTCTTATGAAATGTTAATGCTTTGCCTCATCCATCACCAGACCTCCTCATTACTCCATAAAAAGGTAAAACAAGGGACAGACTGCATTTTAGTTGATGTTAGAACTATTTATCTCATTTTTATGGTTCATTTCATTAAGGGACTGTTTACATACCACCTATTGTGACTCATTTAAACCTTTGATTGGAATAGTGATTTACGAATTGCAGGCCTGAAACAAATGCTTTTGTGATGGAGCCTTGGATGGGGATATCATTTCTTATTCCCCACAGAATTGTAATTGGATAACTCTCATTATGGCTCTCCTCTGTTTTATTATTCCCTTGTTCCCAATCTACCTTTCAATTACCTTTCTGTTTGTTTTTCCCTTAAAATCTGCAGCTACCATGGAGTTACCATATATTTTACAACATATATAGTAGTAAAAAAAGTGTGTTTCTCTGATGTAGTTTATTTCCCTCTCTAAAACATGCAGAAAGCTAGTCATAAAAGGAAAGGCAATTTTTACAATACAGTCAGATGAATGAAAAATCTGATCAATAGGCTTAGTGTGAGGATGTCACTATAGATACAAGGACAGCGAGCCTGGGACCTGCCTGGACTCTGACAGTGTCACACCCTTCACACTAATAGCAGACATGGTGCTTTCTATGTTTGTACAGATTTTCACAGACTGCGTTTTAATGGCTTTGACTCTCAGTGCACAAGGGCCTTGGTGTGTCTGCCGTTGCAGAGTTTCTCACAGTGAAATGACCTGAGTGGTTATCAGAGAACTTCAGACCCAGACAACATATCACAAGAGCTAGCATGTCCACGATGCTCCTGCAGATGGTTCACTGCACTCCCAGGCCAGGCAGAAGGAGTCCTGCAGCTGTGGTCCTAGCCCAAGTCGTTAAACGATGCCTACACTTCACAGAGCCTGACCATCGGTGACACTCAGCAGAAGTTGATGCATGTACTGTATTTTTGTACACAGTTCTGATTATTTTCTTAGTGAAATGCCACAAGCAACATAACTGGGTCAAAGGGTATTAACATTTTTAACTTTTGTTATTGGTTGTGAAATTTTTATCAGGTAAATCTGTAACATACTTGCATTAGTTTATAAGGTAATCACTTCACTAATCCCTCAGCAACATTAAAATCATGATAGTTATCAAGAAAAGACATTACCTGGTGCCTTTATTTTTACTGCATTAATGTTGACTATTTGCACCTATTAAATTGGTACACTTTTAGCCATTTTTTTCCTTTTAACATCTTATACTGATGAGCTTGAAAATATCATATTGTATTTAAAAACACTTTATATATATATATATTTTTCTTAATTTGTTGTTGTGCTCTTGAATTTTAATTGTGGAACTATTTGTCATGTTTAGAAGCTTAAATTTTTATATGGGCAAACTTAACAGACTTTGCATTTGATGTCAGCTAAATTATGTATCTTTACATTTTAAGGTCTTTATATTTTGGAAATTCTTTGGGGAGTTTAGACTGTTGAGACTTTGTGCTTATTTTCTGTTTTATTTAAAAAATTGCTGGCAAAATTGAGGGTGGCATTGCCACTATTCTTTCAGCATCGCATGAGGGAAGTTTTAAATGATTCTCTGTTAGTCATATAACTGGTTCAGCAAAAGGTTACTGTAGTTCTCAAGATATTTTCAGCTGGAGGAGGAAAATAGGACTTGAGAGTGGCTTAAGCAATAATGGATTTGTCATTTTACTTAAGAAGACATCTTAATGGAAACTCTTCCATCCTTTGCCAGTGCAGAGATAATGTTCTTTTTATTTTTTTGTGGTACCTGGGATTGCACTCAGGACCTTGTGCTTGTGAGTCAGGAATTGTGCCACTGAGCTAAATCCTCGGCTGGAAGATAATATTCTTACTAAGGACTGAGCTGCCTTCCGTGTTTCCACTCTGGCTGAGGCATCCCATGTGCTCACACAATCATGCAGAAAAGCAGAAAGAAGCTATTCTTCATCACTGGGTTCTTTCTATCAGGATGAAAAGAGTCATACACCTCAGTCACTTATAATCAATCTCTCCTTAGGTAAAATAGAACTACGATGGCGATTGCAAGAAAGCAGCTTAATTCATAAATGAGAAATTCCAACTTGACTTTAGAGCATACATTTAAAACATAGTAAACATGTAACACAGAAAATAAGAATTTGGAATATAAACTCACGGCAACACTTCATTACGCCAATAGCTGGCTCTTGTTTCCTGCTTCCAGGGGTCTGCTACGGGTCCCTCTCTGCTGCAGTGCAGACCTGGGTGTTCCCTGAGGCCCGAGTGCCTGTCTTAGTCCCCGAGGAGGTGCTTCTGGGTGGAGCGATGGACCTGCAGGAAGAGAGGCCTTGTGGGAGTTCTGAGGTAACTGGAATAACCCTTCAAGGGGGTTTGGGGACCCCTCCCCTTCTCCTTTCTCCTTTGCTTGCTGGCCACAGAGTGAGCAATGTGCTCTGCCAGGGACATCCCCGCCGGACGTGGGCCCACGTGGTCACGGACCCGTCAGCCCCTCTCAGGTGGTGAGGAGGAGAAGTGGAGTACAAGGGGAAGTGGTTCCTAAAGGCTGGTGTGAGGCTAAAGGGAGGAGAAATACAGAAGGAAGGGCTTAAACAGTCCTATGCTGGATTTCAAACATAAACTTGTTCTTTATCACCACACAATATCAATCATTTTACCAGAATTTTGTTTTTGATATGGACATTAGAGAATTAATGTCAATTTCTCTGTTCTACTACGAGGAGGCTACTGACTAATCTCTTAACATATTCAAAATTTCATTTCAGACACCACTGCTATATACTTCTTTCCAAAAACCCCTCACGAGATGTTCTCATTCTTTCCTTCCTCTTTTAAATTGTTTTCCTCCTGGTTTAACTTTATCCCTACTCTCTACCTAGAGTAGGTAATTAATATTTTTTAAAATCGCAGATGTTTTCTTATGTTGACCTCATACCTCGTGGGAAATGCAGTTGGTGTCATTACTATTCTCATTCTGAAGATGGAGGGTCTGGGGCTGGAGAAAGCTGAGTGAAGCCATCGTGGTAAGAGAGCAAGCAGGAGGCAAATCAGAGCTGGAACAGGGCCTGTGTGACCCAGGGACCGAGGACCTGCTGTTTCCCCATCTTGCTGCTCTCATCGTCAGCGGTACCATGGGACAGAAAGGGTTCCGGGTTCAGCAGAGAGGGTTTTGCCCCATTCTTCCTCAAAGTTTTATAAATGCCAACCATGCGGCAGACAGAGGCGGGCCATGGAATGTACTCATAAGTCCACTGTGGCTTCTCCTTTCACCGGGCTTTGCACGGTCTCGTTAGAAGTCAAGCAACTTCGATTGTGTTGTGTCCAGTGTGCTGTGAGAAGGAGAGAGTACGAAAGACTGGATTTCCGGAGGAAATGATACTGGATCTCCGTCCTGAAGAGGAAGTGCGGGGCGTGATGGCCAGTTTGGCAGACGAGGAGAAGGGCTGGAGAGAGGCGGAGACAGAACGAAGGCAACAGTTTAGAGCTGAGCTTAGGGCCATGGATGTAGGGCTAAGGAGTTTGGATTTTACCCTGGAGAAGAAGGGCTGCCTTCTGGTTGTGGTTGTTCTCCTGAAGTGGCAGTTGGGCACTCGCAGCAGTGGGCCCAAGAAAAACTGACAGCAGCTGCGGTGAGAGCATCCTCAGAAGTCTGAGCTTCAAATGCAGAGTGACCTCACTTGGAGCACTTTCCAAGAATGAGTGTTGATCAGTTCTTTTTGTTTTTTTAAATCACTCTCAGTGAACTTCACCTTCTTTCTATTTGTTCCAAAGGGACCTGGCTGCAGGGCTTTGAGGGCTGCAGTGTGGAGTTGAGCACAGTGAGACCTGGGGTCCTGCACCCCTGCCTTATTCAGACCAGCTCTGTTGTTTGCTGCCATGCATGCTATGTGATCTGTTTTACACAGGACCCCACCTGAGAAGGGGACCCCTGTTATCAAAAGAACTGGAGATCCTGCCAGAGAGAGGACTGTTTCATCTAAAAACCAGGCATTTACATACTAGTTCTTGGTAGTTTAAAAATTGGAGGGCCAAATCCGGAGGGACAGGTCACTAGTGTGAACATGCCAATGGGAGGAGAGATGGGAGTTCGTGGTGGCAAAGGGGACCGAGCAAATGGCAGCACAGGAGATGTGCTCAGGATGACAAGAGCAAGCTCAAGTCATGTCCTCAGCTGCAAAACAGCACCACTGTCAAGGAAGGAGCTGCCGCGACTGGCGGGACAGAGGTGAGGGGTCCGTTATGGACACTGCCAGGTTTGGGGTGTGCTGGGTTCTCTTCCTCTCTTCACGTTCTGGTCTGTGCTCACCTGTCGCCTCTGAGGAGGGCCCATCTCGGAAATGCCAACTAGGACAGCATCGCACACTGGCCCTCAGCCTGTGGAGTATCGAGTGACTTCTCCGGTTACAAAATAATAAGTGATCGTAATAAACTGTATTTTGATAAAGTAACACAGATACAGCCTTAACTTGAGATAGAACTTAATTATGGATTTCACAGACTGATGCCCATGGAGATCTAAAGAGCAGTAAATGTTTGGGGGGGGTACCAGGGATTGAACTCAGGACCTTGTTCTTTCGAGGCAGATGCAGGGCCACTGAGCTCCAGCCCCGGCCCTGTAAATATTAATCTGGGTGCCTGCTGCGCCAGACTGGCATCAAAAGGCCCAAGTTTAAGTTCTGTCTCTCCCTCTAGCCCTCTGTGCAATTGGATAATTCTATTTATACTCTAGAATACTCTAAAATGCATAAAATTGGGTTGCATGATGTTCTATCTTACTTGCATACAGCATGTATCAGAGCCATATAAAATTTTTTATTAGAAACAACTTATTTAAGTTTCTTTGATCTCATCAAAATCTACCAGGTAATTTACTTCCCCCTCATCCAAAAGTTTTGTCAGATACTCTTTAGACTAGACATTGATTGTGTTTCAGTACTTTGTGTATATTTCCTCCTTCTTTATCTTGTAAAATATCATTTGGTTATACTTGTTCTTGCCTTGTAGGGAATAAGAGGAACCAACATGCCCACTACAAAGGTCTTCTTGATCACCTCGTCTCTCCTAAGATAGGGGAACAAATTGTCTGCATGGAGAACCCTAGTTCATCCAATTAATCCAAGTAATTTATGAAACTGGGGAATCTGTTCATGTGGGAACAGAAGTTACGGGTATTGCTAATGGGAAATGGCAGCAAAAAAAAAAAAAAATCTAAAGACCATCCCATTGATAAAGGATCTAGACCACTCCTCAAGAGATGCCCAGAGTTCATGACTCCAGCCAACCACAACCGCATATAGGCTTAATTCTACTGACTCATTTAATTATTCATCCAAATGTCATGCAGCACTATCTATAGTATGGACTAGGGTGGCGGGTACAGTTTCTCATGCTGCTTGCCTTTTTATTGTAAATGTGCAACTAGACAGTGCTTGCTGGCTGTGACATGCAAAGCAGAAAGGTTTCTTTTATCAGACACTACTCTTATACAAGCAAAAGAGCAATCTGTGTTATTCAGTGTTGGCTGGAAGGTTCTCTACTTCTCCTTGTCTTTCTTGATTATCAAAGATGTAGAATAACATGAGTCTCCAGCTTGTTGCTGATTCTCCACTTTGTGGAAGAGAAAAGCTCAAGCAGTGCCCTAAGAACCCATGAAAATAAAAGCACGTTCTGCTTTTACTACTCGGCAGAAGAATGAAGTGCATTTCTTGTGTATGGTCCAGTCTCACATGTGCAATTCTTTCCATTTATGTACCACTAACTGGGTGTGCCTAGGAATGGCAGCAGATGAAGGTCAATGCGTATCTCAGCACAGATGCTGGCAAAAATTCCACAGCACGGTGTGGCTCTGCAGTTAACTCGGCAGGAGCAACTGCAGGCCAACTGGCTTGTGATTTCTGGTACAAGCCCATATTGCTGGGACTTGAGATTCAATGCAGCTGCATCTGACTGCATGTTAATTGTGCTCCCTTTGAATTGGGTGCCCCTGGAGTGCTGTTAGCCAAGTTTTGGAGAGTTCCTTGAGTGTTCTTAAGTCTTGTAGAGTGGTGCTCAGAAAATCTGTCTTCAGTGTTTTGGGATCTGGATGGAAAAGCTCATCAACCTAGGTTGCATTCATTAAGATCTCATATCAAGGTGCAAACAGGCTACGAATGGACTGCTGAGTCCTGCTCTGGATGCTGTGTTTCTGCAGCAACACTGGCGATGCAATGCATGCAAAATGTCACCCATGGAGAACCCTTTCTAGGAGAGTGTTATTAATAATAATTGAGAGAATACTGGATGCTTTCCCCGAAGAAATGAAGACTCAGGACTGGGAAGATGGAAGACCTTGAAGAGTGGTGGCCAAGAATTAGCCTACTTAGGTTTGCAGATGAACTCAATGGATGTTTCTAGAAGGCTAATTTGGGGGATCTAAAATTAGAAAGAAAACACAGACTTCTTCAAATCCAGAAGCTCTTCCTCTCAAAACAGAAGTCTGCCCAAGCCTGAGATGTTCTGGATGAAGCTGGAGATGACACTGTGCAGACAGGAGAAGAGAATGCTCTCAGTAAGGGTTAATCCGATTTGGGCACGAAGGGCTAAGATGGCAGGGACAGGACGCACTGGAGTTGTAGACCTGCTCCAGAATTTCTTGGTGATGAATTTGAGGGAAATATTTATTTTATCTGAACATGAGTCCTGTCTTTTAAAAAAGCAGAAATAATATTTTCCTCAGTGTGGTTGTTTTGTCATTAATAAATAAATAAGACCTAGGGATGTCGGTATATATAATGTGTGCATGAGGGCCTGGGTTCCATTCCAGAACTGGAATCATCAATCAACCAAAAGTAAGATGCACATCAATGGGCTATTAAAACATATGGCACAGCTGGGCATGGTGACATCACGTATTTGCAGCTACTAAGGAGGCTGGAGGAGGGCCATACTGTATCTCCAGTCTGGCCTACTTAGTAAGACCCTGTCTCAAAACACAACACAACACAACACTCAAAACAAAACGCAGAAAAGAGCACTCCCAGATTCAATCTTTAGTACTCAAATAAAAAGTTTAACATAGGCAAGGACCTCTTGTATGGTCCCTGTTTGTATTAAGAATCCCCAATTCTGGGAGTGGTGCACAGAATATGTATAATTGTTATTGCTTGTGTCTTGTTTCATGCTAATTACTTCTTTTCTTATGTGTTATATATAAACATGCCATTCACTGGTGTAGAGTATCCTACACCGAATCTGTGGCCAAAGGTTCAGAAAACAATGAGAAGATCACTAGGACGATGATCAATGTTTTCATCATGGAACTGTGAATGGGCTCA